AGGCCTATGTTCAGCAGTGGACTCAAACAGGCTGAAATGATGATGATGAAGTGCGATAAACAGGATAGAAGCAATTTAGTTTTTTCCAGTTAACATTGAAAATTCTTAATTATCAATGTTAACTGGAGCTGTCTTCTAAAGTAGTTTGAAATAACCTCATTATTAAATGTTGTACAGTGAACATTTTTTAAATTTAAAATTATGGTGTAATATGCTTACATACAGTGATTTTGCTGGCTTTGATCTATTATTTCAATGTTGAAACCTTCCAACAATTTTGCTAAAAAATTCGTATACATAAGACAAGTGGCAGGCGTCATATGGAATCAGGAATAGGGTGGCTCAAGAAATATATGGGTGGAAAATATTGGAGGCCTTTACCGCCTGTCAAACAGATCTACAGAGATTAAGTAAAATTCAAATAACTGGCTATAATAAAAATAACAAAAGACTGGATTAAGATTTAAATTTAAGTTTCTCATATATTGCTCTTCCTACAATTGTAACAGCCATCTGAATAAAAGGCTATTATTATTATTGTTATTATAACACAACATTCCCATTTAATTCTGTTCGGTGAAAGCATTGTAAGCAGATAATTATCTGTCTAATATGCCCGCTTTTATAGGTTGTTTATGTATGTGCAGTGCAATTAAAAAGAAGTGTCAATATAGGTTATTGTTTGTAGCACAAATGACACTGTCAGCAAACAGTATTTATCTTTGTAATCGACGAATATTGGTTGCTACAGGTAACTATAACTGAATTAATATATTTAATGGGCTGTTCTGGCCATTGTTTGTCTATATATATATATATATATATATATATATATACCTGGAAAAAGATGAACATTGTTCTGTTGTAATAAAAGTTCACGATGAACCTGTTTGCGTATGACGTATCATTCTAATAATAGAACATCATTCGTGAGTTTGTTCTTAGACTACTTAAAAGAGTGTTTGTTTAATCTCGGAAGCAATTGCTTTATTTTTGTAAGTGATGAATCATTGCACTTTGAAAGAGATGATTAACTTTTCACCGTTATAATACAGATCTGATATACGTAATGGTACACAGCTTAAAAGCAAAAGTTAGAAATAATGACAGTTTGGATCCAGATCCAAACTGTCATTCTTTCAAATTTAAATTTGTCAAATTTAATACTCAATATCATTAATTAATAAAAATGATATTATTAAATATTCATTCAATTACAATAGTTCATTTAATTTCGTTCCATTATTAATGCATTTAAGTCGAATAAAAAAAGAAAGGTTTCAAGGAAATCATTTCGATTTATCTGAATATTTTCTCTTATATGTGTTTTCACAAATATATCTCAAGAACCGTGATAGTTAGACATTTGAAATTTTCATATATGAAGTATTTCTATTCCCGGTATAACAACAAACACTAAAAAACGGAATCAGAAAATATTTAGGTGGGGCTCCGATACAACAGACATGATTTTTTTTGCCGTTAATATAGTATTATGAAGAGTAAAAGAAACACTATTTCAAGTAATCGTTCTTTAATCAAAACTGTTAATAACTTTATAATAATTAAAGTTAAAGCTAATTTCACTAAACTCGTATTACGAATGAGCCCGATCCTTGGGCTCAGTCCATTTTATACACCTCTCCTCTCCTCTACACAATATTCGCACCTCATCGCTACTACCCTCCTCTCCGCAATATTTGCACCTCACCACTACTACCCTCCTCTCCGCCAATTAATTTAGTATAGCTCCACTACACACCGTCAGAATAGATAATGGTACAGAACCCTTCGCACGCGAGGCCGACTCGCATTTTGCTATTTTTTAATTTCAACATAATGTGGCGCATAATAATACGTTCATAAATCAAATTGGATATGAACATTCACAATTATGTTTATAATAATTATATTTTAAAGATACCATGGCTTTGTTAATGATCACCAAAAAGATAATAATTTGCAATTAAATAGTTAGGTAAATATTTATAATTATTTATTCATGTTTCATAAATCTACCTATTAATTTATTTCACTATACAAAGTGACAAAAACGAATACGAAGCAATGAAATTTATGTGCCATTAATTTTTTGAAGTTATACTTGTTATGGCGCGTTAGGGAAAAATGATGAGAGTAAATTTTTATGATGCGCGCGCACACCGTCATGAAAAATCGACACCCAGAAGTTAGCTAGACATCTACGTATGTTTGCGTGAGAACTGACAATTGTATTCGCGATATTTATTTTGTGATATTTAAATAAACTTTATTTAACTATTATCTAGTTATTCTAGCGTTATAATAAAACTTTCAATTTATTAAATACCTTTTTTCTATTGTGAGTGTCGTTTTTTCTACAAAAATAGAATAAGGCGAAAGATAAAATTTTTGAAAAGATTTTTATCTCATTACGCCAAAGAAGTATAACTTCTAACGCGTGTACAACACAAGTAAGTAAAGACATTTTATTTTTCATATAATGACCGCCACTTATGGCCTTTCACAACACCGGGAAACCTGTAAATGTCATATTAGCATTTAAGGTAGGAAAAGATTCTAGATATTTCCAATTCGACGGAAATACATTTCGCCGGAATGACAACTCATTCCAGAATGTAATCGTGATTGGCAGAACATTTCCTTAAAACCGCAGGGTATTGCGAATGGTCAGAATTTGCATTTACATTTTAACGACTGCCCATGGTAGCCAAGATAATAAATGGCAGAGATGCAATATCGTTTCCCGAGTAAGAACTTTGTCGTAAACGATTCGAGCTGCCCTACGTTGGATGCGGTCAATTGGAAGGAGTTGGGTGTCTCAGTCCAGAAACGAGAAATGTATTTCATGTGTGGCCGTACGTACGCCTACAGGCGATGGGAGGGCAGTAAATAGTATCTTACTCTACGGGGGACAACAAAGCTTTGGAGAAACCAGTTAGGGTTTCCCTTTCAACAAGCGTCGCTCGATATGTCAAAGACTAGATTGGGCTGATTGAGGCGGTAGCGTCTCAAAATGGAAGTTAGATTAAAAGTTTATTTTTAGTGACAAACGCGCAAAGATTTGTTCCTTGTAAAGATTAAATTGGACTGATATGACACTTATCGTTTTGAAGAAATATAGAAAAGATGCAATTGAAAAAACGTTCTATGAAGATTCCTTCATATAAATGTAGTTCTTCGTAATTTTGTAAATACAAGAAATTTGATAGGAGAACATTTAAGTTCAAAGTTTTATTTTTCACATACCTAAGTAAATTTTCGAACTACTTCACAAACTAGATCAAAGGGGTGAATTTAGATAGGACTTTATGTAAGAGCCGGAAAATAGGTCAGCAAAACAAGGGCATTCATCATCGGCGAAGAGTAATAGAAAAGTTGCCATATGAAATATTAATGATGTTTCGCATTGAACTTATCTATGGTATTTGTATGGCATCGGGGTAAGGTGGATAACGCGGTGTGCTGACCAAAACATCCGTTTCTAAACCCTTTTGATAAATTACTGTATATGTCTTTACTTTTCATAAAATCAGGAATTTTGATGTGATAAAAAGAAACCAAAAATCTTGTGTATAATTTTTGTCTTCTGATAGTCTTAAGTCTAAAATAATGAAAAAAAAAAAGAATAAATAAAGAAAACGAAGTCTGTATGACTTCATTTTCTTTATTAGAATTTTAGAGCACATGAAAGTTACTTTCTTACTCTTACCTCCATTACGATGACCTAAAACATTACAAATTTAAACATTAAAAATTTCTTTTAAAGAAACTATTTACTTTGTTTTTTTTTACCATACAAAAAAAAATTTTTTTTTTAAATGTGGAACTCAGAATAATATCTGCTGTTAATCAGAGGGGCTGGTTAGCCATGGTCTGCTTTTTAAATTAATTTTTAATCTAACTTTCATTATTTGTCTAAAAATTTGGTAGTATTACCAATAACGGCATACATTACCTTAAAAGTTACCTGAGACGATATTTATTCTACGACCTACATTTTTATTCAAATTGATTTATTGTTACGATAACAAGGTTGTCAAGTGATGTCGCCATCTAACTTCGCTAATAACATGTAGTATCTTGATAGGCTGTAACCGATCAACCTTTAACTTTAAATTATTAAACAAAACACATTCTTTTATGGTATTTTTATTCCAATTTGGTGTCATAGAACTCTCTCTCTCTCTCTCGTCTCTCTCACTCAATTACACATACACAAGTTTTCAAAGATACAGCACACGTCGAAATATTCGGTGAAAGGACAAACTTAAGAAACTTGACAGGTGATAAGAAAAAGTTAATATTATAGATAGAAATTTGATTTTAAAACTTTAAATAGCGGCAGAGAGAAAAATTGTCGTATAAACGGTCGATACGTAACAGCCAAGAAAATTTTTCAAGGGCGAGGTTGGTGCACGCACGCCTATCGTTCTATTAATAACCGTTTGACATTCCCTGACGACAGAAGTGAGGATGTACTGCATTAGTTCGGCACTCATCTCGCTGCGTTGTTTACAGCGTGCATTTTATAATAATTGTCAATGATTAATGTACTTATTTATAACGAACACTAAGTTTTTTTCATCGCTCGGTTTCGTTAACGTGCCAAATACGTTTACTAGTGTTATTAAATGTTTAAAAGGGTAGTTATTTTTTTATGTGAGAAAGTGGCAAACTAGCTGGCGGTTCTGATGTTAAGTGATAACCGTCTGCCCATGGACATGTGCAACACCCGTAGGGTTGCGATGCGTTGCCACCTCTTAATAATGTGGGCCTCGGCTACCTCACTCACCAGACGAAACTTCTACTTTACGTCGGTCTTCTGTGAGGTCGTGGTACTAACCCGGACGGACCTGCTCATTCATACAACAGCGAACATTGTTGCATGGCCCTGCCATAGGGCCTACCGTAGGGCCACGCAACAGTAATAATAAAACGAGTTACAGCAACTATTTAATAAGAATTATCAGAACTTATTGAAACCTATATATACGGCGATGGCAGATGGGGAGGAAAGTCCAAGAGTGGAGGCCGCGGTTTTTGTTTGCGCGTTGGCGCTGGGAGAAGAAGTGGCGGAAGAAACTCCAGCAATGCTTCTATCATTAATTGGGGAGAACCTGCCAAGTACGTGGCGTTTGCTCGAACACCCTCGTGATGTACCGGTTAGAAGTTGCTGGCTGCGGAAAGCGAACTCCCTATGGTGAAATGGGTTGGGTTAGGCCTATCCAACAGTAGGATATACATAGATGATGATGATGCTAGGAACCTTTAAAGTTATACTTCCGAGCTAGCAGCTGGTGTAGTTTCAAATGGCGTCACTCTATCTAGTTCAATATAGTCCTCGGGCAGTTAAAGGAAGCTTTTCCCACGCGCTTGTATCTTAAGACAGCGATCGTAAAACCCCTTTCCTCGACTTAACGGTCTACCATTATGACTCCCCAGTTCTTGTCACTCTACTTTACTGCTGAAATTATGGTTTTACATTACGTCGCACAGACATTTTGGTTTCACAGATACTAAATAGAAACTGGCACCTTTATAAGTTATTTAGTTAGGTCATTCGTTGCAGAAATTTTTTGGTCAATTCCTATCCTTTTCATACGTTTCGACAACGTAAACGTCTGAAATGAGATCATTTTTTTGAATAGAATATATGGTACATTTCAAATGAGATACAAAATGTGACAGCTGTATTTCTCTTTTTGACCTCTATTAAGGTTAAAAGATAAAAATATTCGTAAACATATAATACCAACAATATTGGTACATTTTTATTGGTAAAAAGATAAGCCGTTTAGCTCAGTGGCTAGAGCGCGTATCCCGGATGGCACAGGTTCAAATTCTCGCTCGAAATTTCGTTCTGAGTGCACTATAAAAAATTAATACCATTTAAACATGGAATAATATGATTAGCTGAAACTATTATGAAAATGATGAACATAACACTAATTAAATGAGTCACTTAATTGATTAAGTCTTAGTGGTTGATAATAATTTGTGAGTACTAAAGCACTCAATTTGGGTATTACACTATAAAAAAAATTATTTCTTAGAAGCAATGGCGACATCTCTCGTTCGAATTATCGTTGTAAAACGACATTCGAAATTGTTTGTATGCTGGAAAGGATATAACAATGGATGCGCGAAGCATTGCTTCAAATGCTAAAAAACAAAGTAGATGAAAATCTTAACGTCTTTTAGGTTAAGATTTTCGTCGGTGTGGCAATCAGCCGTTTAGCTCAGTGGCTAGAGCGTCAGGCCGCGAATGCCGAAGACGTGGGTTCGAATCCCACAGCGGCGACAATCATTTCGTACTTTTTCTACAATAAAGCTTAATAAATGTTTTTCCAAAGTAAGAGAAATTCTAAATATTATCTTCTGACTTAAATTTTGGCTTTGTCGATTGTTACTGACTTGATTTAAAAAAATATCTTTACTTTTACTACCTTCAAGTAGCTCTATATTATACACAGTGAGATGAAAGGAACTGATGTTGCTGTGCTCCAGCCCAGAGATAACCATGTATATGCTTTGTTTGATACCTGCTCTTTATTAAGTTGCCAAAGATGGACCACCAAGTAAGCGTTTCCAAAGGCTTGGCTACTGAAATCTCGGTGAGTTCCGTCCCAAATAATCTTTGAATTGAACGTTACTCCATGGAACTTTAAAACAAGTTGGGGCAACAAAAGGATCCATTTTAAAACAAGGAAATACAATATTTGGTGTTGGTTTGAATGGTTTCTTTTACAAAATGTGGTAATCTCTTCGATTTCATGCGTAAGGATGAGATTAGATAAACTCTATCGATTTCAATCAGAGATTTAGCTTAACAACATTTCATATTAAGTACATATTTCATATGGCATATTTTCCTATAAAGGGAATCTAATGTTTTTTCTTTTTAATTCGAGCATATGTGTGTAGAATTAGTAGCATAGATGCTACTAATTAGTAGCATAGAATATGTATAATAGTAGCATAGATGCTACTAATTCTCTGGCACGCTCTACAGCCTAAACAGTTTGACGAATTTCAACATTTGAGGTTCGTCTCAGTTGTGCAAGTGACATGCGGTATATTATTTCAACACGGTTTCAACGAATACTTAGTGCTTTTAAGACAGTCGGGTTTCTTGTTACATTAAATAATTTATTTTATTGGTGAATATTTACTGGGCCGGTATTTAAAGTATGGCCCAAATTTTCAATCACATAAAATGAGGATTATTATTGATGTAAAAGCTAATAGGTATATAAATTACAAATGATACATGAGCATTCACAAGTTTGGTATCAGTGTATACGCTGTCAAAAACGATCGTGATTTTCCAACCCGTAACATGATTGCAGTCTTTGGCAGTAAGCTCATAGAGTCTGCTATTCGAAAGAAGTGTTTTGTGCTAAACCCAATGAAAGTCGTCCAGGCTAACCACCAAAACTCAGTAACGTATCATAGTTTAAACCTGGGTTCAACTTGATAGGGATCTTCTGAGCAGGTGACCCCGTCAAAATCAAAAATGCAACGAAAGTGAGCCAACCGATGTTGCAAAAAGGGCGGCGGTGATCGCTTCACATAAGACGAAACGCTCAAAATGCCGAAAGCTGATCCATCTGGTGTCACAGAAGAGAACGGTTTACTGTCGTCCCCATTCTTTTAGCGTGGAAGCTGCAATATGCCATTGGGGCGTAAGCTGTGTTTCGGGAGTTAGTCTTATGAGGAAGAGTCTCGGGAAATGCGCGTTAGAACCGGTGCCAACTCCAAAACACGTGCCCGCAGTACAAGAAGGGTACTTTTAGTTATCACAATTATGTTGAGCAATAATAGATTTTTTGACATTACACGGCTATTTAAATTTCCTTCTCATAGTTAAAATTACATTAAATGTAATTTTAACTATGAGAACTTCCCATAGTAAAAATAATATCTCATTAAAAATTGTTCTTTACAGAACATTGTTATTATAACGCGTTGAAGAGTTATTTTCCTCATAATTTCTAGTGGATTACAGAAGAGAATTTACTTTCAAATAGATGTGTAGAGTTATTAGACACAAAATTGGACTAAGAAATTTTTCTAAGCATGTCTTAAAACACAAAAAAATGTTAATTACATACGCAGAAATAAAAACAAATTGATACAAATAAAAATACTGTCCTTCGTCATTTCAGGAGAAAGAGAAAACTCCTCATATAAGTTGTCCTTGCGAAAGGATCGCGACGTCTGAGGTGGATTATATAATTCCAGCTCAGACGTTGTTCATCGATTTTTGTCATGTAACTGATTAGGTTCTGAGAACCGCAACTAACAAAAGGAGTGGAATATTGTTCGATAAGCTGCCGGAAAAGATGTACAAATGTCTGTTACGAATTTCAAGTATCAGCACTAAAACCAAACAGAAGAATAAAATTTTCGTTTTAACAAAATGAAAGTATGCTGAAATTTTCTTTTGCTTTTTCTTTATAGTGATATATTCACATCCGCGAACGACAGTTGAGAATGATATAAAATATCTACTTAGGTAAAAAATGCTTTAAGTAAATTTATTTTGTAACCTCAAAACATTGAACCTATAACATATTACACACTGCTATTCATATAATAAGAAAATAAGATGACACATGATGATTTTCTTACCGTTTGAAAGAATTTTGTTAGCAATATATAAGATTTCCCGTGAAGAGTTGAGACGCGAACATTTGGATTACAATTTCAAGATATTTCTGGAAACATAGCATCGTATACTGATCGACAATTACTATCTTCATAGAAATAATAAATACAGTTTTTTGGTTAAGTAGAATTTTATTTCATTCATTAAATAACATACAATTAAATCTCGAATATTGTATTAAAATAAAACAATAGCCAGTATTAACGTTTTGGGGAAACAAGGACTTTCAATGATATTATAATTTCCAGAATATGATACGTAATGAACTTGTCGACACGGATAATATTTTTTTTAGATTCGACGATTCGTAAAACAGAGCCCTTATTGGTAAGTCAATCTTGAACGCTACTGAGAATGGAACTTGCGGCCCCATCGATCGCGATCTGACTCCGGGCGCTAGAAAGATAATACTCAAAAACGCACCACATTACAACAGGCGTCATCGGCCTATTGTCAGGTGGACAATAAGGCGAGTCGTAAAATCTAAATAGAGTATTGGATCGCATTACAGGATACTCGTGTTCAGATTAATGCAGCTTTATGATGATTAATATGTCTCACAACTTGATTCATTGACCGCTACCTTAATAGATAATATTTAATTTTGAATATTTATGTATTTGTAATGCATTAGATATTAATTTACTCATTCAATTAACTTTTGTTCCAATTTTCTCATTCAAAAAACCGTAATTTATTTTTATATGCGCTAACATATATGTAACATATATGTAACCTAATTTATTTTTATATATAATGTCTATGTTTATAAAAAAAACGTTTATGGAGAAAGAGAAGAAAGAGAGAGACATGCGTAAAATATGAGATTCTGTATAATATAAGTATGTGACCACTTAAATTTTTTTAAGTTTAACTAATATCGGTCGTTAGTACTTAATAAATTTATTAAAACTAATCTTCTTAGTGCTTAATAAGAATTGTAACTTTAATAAAATTCGACATTCATTTTCTGATAAAGAAAATTAAGTACACCAATATTATATCCAAGTATATATAAGAAACAGTATGTTTTTCGAGGGTATGTGAGGACTGGCATGACGTTCTAGTGCCGCTAGGCGGACCATGCCCTGATATCTTCTGTACGGAAGACCAGGAGAGGAGACCAGGAAGACTCAACAGTGTCCTTCTGCTCATCATATATGTACAGGTTTTTTAAATACACGCCCTTGATCCGAACTAAATGTCTTCAAATTTATGATAAAGTAAAGCACGATATCTTTGTAAGTTGTTGATTCAGATTGATTACGTATAGTTATTACGTGACCTACTTTTGGAAGCGAATCAAGAAAAGAAATGGATATAAGTCGTAAGCCCTTTGTTCATTAGCGCGTATTATGTGAGTGTGCGTACGCGCGTTCCTACGTCTATGAGGATGCCTGATGCTTACAAATGAATGTGAGAATTAAAGAAGTAAAGTTTACGTTGTAAGAATTAACATTAAATTAGAAACATACGAAAATTAACAGAAGTTAACAAACAACTACTCCACTCCTATTTACTTTTTTTTATTACTTTAAGCTTAGTTTTATACCCTTCCGTGTTACACAATAATTTCATACGATTTCAAAGTTTCATAAAAGAAAAGTAATTTTTGAATTAGGTATCGCAACCTCCTCAGACTGAACTTTACATTAGGACGTTAGAAATTGGACAAAAACTAATGGTATGTAGTTGTTCTTTCAAGGGCAAATACGACCGGTTTCGTTAAATTCAAATATTCTGACAGCGGTTCGGTTTACCTTCGCCGCTCCCACCGCGGTATCGATTCCTCCGCACCACCACCGCGGCCCCACCGGGCGTTGTCACCACACGGCGGAGTGAAACAAAACAAATGAAACACACGCACTCCCGCCGCACACCAGTACGTTACCGGCGAAAGCCGCCTTTCAACCGCCACTGTCAACTCCGTGCGCGAAGTTGGCGCGCGTAAACGGCGAACGGGAGAGCGTGCACGCAGCGAAGTCCCGTCGCTGGCGGCCCGAACGGAGCCAGAGCCGCGGCGAAGTTTCAGCTCGATTCGCGTGCGTTTCCAGCCGCGGAGCGGGGCGCGAAAGTTTTCGCCGTAACGTTTGAGGGCGACTGTGCTTTGTTACGCAACTCACTGCGGCGCTAGTCCGCCAGGGGGCAGCGCGTCGGCCAGTGGCGCAGTGGCGGGCATGCGCACTGCCCGCCTCCGCGGCACCGTCGCTCTTTTGTTCGTGAGACTTTTTGTCCGACTTTTAATGGTTAACCATTTGAACCCCGCACGTTTTCTCGATCAACCCAACTCGATAAACGAATGGTTTACACGAAGGGACGTGTTATGATAGAGTTTGATGATGTAATTCTCGCAATTTTGGTCGCAGATAACGGCGACAGTTTGTACGTGGTTGTGGCGAATGTAATAAGAACCCTATTAGCATGGAAGGTCTGCGATCGGTAGGACACCTTTTTACTTTTAATATACTGCGACGTCAGCGTTTGGTGGCGAAAAGTCAATAGCAAAACTGCGTCTGTGGAGGTCAGGGCGACATCGCGTGAAGCTGCCTTAATAGCAAACGGCAGGCGAGACCAAACCTCGTCGACCTCGTTGTATAAAGTCAACTAAGCGTCTAATATTAAACAATTATTTAATTGAATTTTCTTATTGCTTTCCAAATTATAATTATTCCGTTATTCCAATATGTCTCCTAAGCTACTACATAACTTAGACTTATCACTTACCACAGACTTACCGCTGGGCCCAACAGATCATAGATCTCTGGAAATATTTTAAAATATACGAAGAGAGTAGAATGAATATTTACTTATGAACATGTTATGAATGTGCTAAAACACATATTAACTCAAACAAGTTTATTGCTTTCAATTGATCTGTTTAGTGTATTAACGGTGACGGGATCTTCTACTCTCTGCCCATATCTACAACGGTGACTTTGTGAATATAAATTAATATTGTTTATGGTTAAAAATAGAGTCATTTAAAAATGAACAAAGAGTAAATTGCCTCCACTTTAGTCAACTTGAGATTGCCACCTTTAAATTTGGTTATTGCGGCGGTGGTTCTTTATTATTAACTAGGTCCGCGACTACGACTACGTCTGCGTAGAATATGCTGAAGGCGTAACATTCAGACAGAAAGACACATGTACATAAAATATGTATATAAATTATAGCCTATGTCTTATTCTGACGTATAAGTTATATTATTGTAAAGTTTCATTAAAATCCATTCAGTAGTATTTGAGTAACAAACATCCATCCATACATACAAACTTTCGCCTTTATAATATTAGTAAGGATTACGTGACTGCGTGACCCAGTTAATAGAGTTTATCGGTAACAAGTCCTCGGACTTAGGTTCGATAACGCACCGAGTATATTGTTAACTAGTTTTCGCTTGCGGCTCCGCCCGCATGTTCTACATTTTATTTAGTGCTTGAAAAGTAGCCTATAGCCTTCCTCAAGAAATGGGCTATCTAACAGTGCAAGTTTAGCAATCGAACCTAAGAAAGTTGGGTTTAAGGTCATTTCAACAGTACAAAAAATGTATACATCATGTTTCGCAAAGTTATAGCATTTTAACTTATTCAGTGCTGATGGGTCGACAAAGACCCGCCACGCAGTAGCGTAAATATCATTGGAGGCGTATTTCGCCCCGCTGCCGCACCAGATGATGGTTTATGATTTTATGTGCCGTAGCCAAGGTGTTATTACATATGACAGATGACAGTGGATATAGTTCTGAGGTCAACGTACATTGGAAGTGTCAAAAGTGTCAAAAACCTTTTGGGTACGGAACCCTTAAGGAATTTAATTTACCAAAACCTTCCCAAAAAGGTAAAAGGGGACCCTATTACTAAGACTCCGCTGTCAGTCTTGCCGTCTGTCAGCAGGCTGTATCTCATGAACCGTGATAGTTAGACAGTTGAAATTTTCACAGATGATGAATTTCTGTTTCCGCTATAACAACAAATATAAAAAAACAGAATAAAAAATAAATTTTAGTGGGGCTCCCATACAACAGACATGATGTACGCAACCTTTCGTGCCAGAGTCCGACTCGCACTTGATCGGTTCTTTTTAAGTTTATGTAAACATACAATCATCATCATTTTACATAATATATGACCATAATATATAATTAACTAGGCAGTTTGATCCAATTAACTGTAGCTATTATACAGCGTTTTATCGGTGGTTCTATAAGTTGATAAAGCTTTGTTTATTTATGCACCGATTCAAATAAAACTGACTATAAATGTTTAGTGAAACTTACTATAATCCATTAGTGAAAGTTGCATCGAAAACACACAGACAAACATGTAAAAATTTCAACAATCATTGTTTTGGGTTCTATTGCGTTGATAAAGGGCCCCAATAATAGTTTTCTCAAAAAACTACCATGTAAAGCTTCAAGCTTCCAGACAAAGATCAGTTACATCTTTATTAGACACCTGTATAGAATATTGATTAAAGAATAAAAAGCGAGCAAGTTGACAAACTGTGACTAGTGTCTTCTTAATGGGGTAGATAAAGAAATATATACTACCTACCACCAAACTTATGTCGTCACTTATGTTATAGGTTTAATGTGAGATTTCCACCACCTAGGCCTCCGTAGTAGGCTCCCGTTTAAAAAAACGCACACGTGACCTCATGCGCGGCCGTCTACTAGTCTTGGGTTCGATGAAAAAGTAGTCTACGGACTTAAAAGAGAAATATAGCTTAAAGTATAGTAGTATGTTTTGGGTAGAGCTTATGTTGTACCTCGGACATTGGCATTTTAAACTGTTAGTTTTTACACACGAGAAGACTATATATACTATAAATACTATAAATGACTATATATACTATAAATGTAAAAAAAATTGTGCACGGATTGGAACTGCATAGTAAAAATTGTAATTCAAACTCGGCAACTAACGCTATCGCTGATTTTCAACCGACGTCAATAAGTTTATATATGCTTTAGTTATTTGTAACTAAAAATGTATAAAATGTATAATTATGGTGTAAGAGGAAATGTGTTGCAACTTATTCAGTCGTACCTTACGAATAGGAAACGGCACACCCTTATCTCGAAAATTAATTTTAGTAACAATTTAGAAGAAGAATTTAAGTCACGGGAACGCACGATACATTACGGAGTTCCACAAGGCAGTGTTTTAGGACCCCTGTTGTTTATCATATATATTAATGACATAACTAAAGTAACGAATTACCCTATAACACTTTTTGCTGATGACAGTACAGTAATAATACAATGCAAAAATATTAATTTGTATGAAGTAGAAATTAATAATTCAATAAAGGAAATTATAGAATGGTTAAGAAACAATAATTTAAAAATTAATTTGGAAAAAACAAAAATTATGCATTTCTATACATTGCCAGAGTTAACAAACTTGAACATTAATTACGATGGAAAAAATATTCAAGATACCGAAGTTACAAAATTCCTGGGTTTAGTAATTGACAAAAAATTGAATTGGCAAGAACATGTTATTAAATTAGCAAAACAAATAAACAGTTCTGCTTACGCATTGTACAAGCTATCCTCTTTAATAAATTTAAATGCATTGTTAACTGCTTATTACGGACTCGTTGATTCCAGGCTGAGATATGGCATAATGTTTTGGGGAAACTCTATTTATAAAGATTTGGCCTTCAAAGCTCAAAAAAGATGCGTTCGTGCCATTTTCAAACTAAAGACGATGGAAAGTTGCAAAAAATATTTTAAAGATAATAAAATTCTGACACACGTCCTTGTATATCTATGAAACTGCTGTTTTTGTAAAAAGCAACCCCACATTGTTTCCGCTGTTGTCAGATGTTGCTATTCGAAACCGGCGGGACCCTTCAAGATTATGTATACGCAGGGGTAGAACAGCACGTATGCGAAATAGCGTTTTTTGTATGGCTACAATAATATATAATAAGATACCAATGAATATAAAGAACTTAAATATTTTAAATTTTAAAAAGAAACTGAAGTTAATCCTTTATGACAGAAGTTATTATAACCTAAGTGAATTTCTTAATGACAATTTAGATGAACCTTAAATGTAAATGAACATTTAATAGTGCTAAGTGTATAAATGTTATTTCTAAGTTTGCAAGTATATTTCATTAGATATCATATGTTTTTATACCACTGTTAACTTATAGATATACTTTAATTTATTTTATTTTTATTACTTTTTAATTAATATTGTTTCTGCTTTAAATTATAACTTATTATTAAAATCCAGGTGCTAAGAACAGCACAATAAATATTGTACGCTCGTCTAGAGCAAAAAACATGTGAGACTTAATTTTATGACATAACATCACGTTGCATTTGTACAACCAGGTTTTTTACAAATAAAGTGTTTATTATTATTATTATTATTATTAATGTTAAACTTTTTAATAAATTCATTCTACCTTTATCGAATGGCTTTTTCGCTTTCGTTCCTAGTGGATACGTTATATCTGTCACAGAATTATACCAAAAAAAAAAGAAAACTGGGCATACCTGTAAGTGTATCGGGTAAGTGAGGTTGAGGGGGGTTATGAAAATCTCAATGACGCGGTATGGTTTCGCTGTTCTTAGAGTTGACGTCAAGTCAGGGAACCGTTAAAGAAAGAAAAAAAATACATTAATTTCCGTTCGGTCAGATATCTAACACGATTGCGATTTAAAGCTTAGAATTTATTTATTTGATAGAACTGATTAGACCAGCGTGAAGTAGGAGGGTTAAATTTCTGCGTTTGGTAACTGAGGTAAAGGGAGCCCACTTTATTATTATTTTTTATATTTTTTTAATCTAGGTATATTAAAGGTGGCAACGCATCCGCAACTTTACGGGTGTTGCAAATGACCTTGAGCAGTGGTTATCATTTAACAACAGTTGAATCGTCAGCGCGCTTGCCGCATCTAACATTAAAAAAAAGATTTGCACTACAGATTTTTACCAAGGCTTACATACAAAGGTCGCTTGACCCATAACGTGCATCGAGGACGTTTTGCTTGAAGGACCCAAAAATAATACAGCTTTATTTTTATGGTATTCTGAGCTTTTGTTCTCATTCGACCTTAGGTCACGGAAAAAAAGTCTCTGACTGACAAGGTCGGATACGATGACTCAGTCCTCCTAGGCGGTGACCCGCGTGTTACCTGGTTGTCATCATATT